AAACAGACACCCAACTAAATCTTTCAGGGCGAGAAACAAACTATTAAGTATTAAAATGTCTACCACCTGTGTTTCATCTATTCTAAATAATGCTTTGTTTCCATACAATCAGATATGACACAAAGTCAGCCAGAAAGTTTGGAATGACCTAGAATATGATTTGAAAATGAATTTATGTTCATTATCTCTAATGCTAAATAGTGCTCTATGTGCAATTATGCCTTGGGACATTAGCCAATAATAGAAACATAAAAAATAATTTGTAAATAAATATATTTACATATATTGGGAAATCTTAAAATTCAAAACAAATGTTTTTCTTAAAGGGGGATGTGATCAAAATATTTGAACACAACTGTCCTAACACATCTCCTTTATGGTAAAGCAGAGCTCCTCCTGATGGGGAAAGAAAGAATCTCCATGTGATGATTTTAGGTTTATAGTCTGATGGTTCCTTCTTCTTCAGAATTTTGAGAACTTCTAAATGCACTAGACAAGTCCAACCCCTAAGTTTACAACCTGCAACTTGCTTGCTCCTCATTATCCATCATTGTCCTTATTTCAACTTCATAGAGCTTCCTTCTTGCAGAAAGAGAAACATTTAAAAACATAATAGGTGGTGTGGGGATCCCACTGTGTTGTTCACCACTCATTCAACAAATGCAACCAGCTGCCACTTACCGTACTTGGTTAAAAAAAAAAAAAAAAAAAAGAGGCAAGCTCCAGATTCCTTCTAGCTTCCTGTCCAGGAACACTTTCCAAACCACCTTACAGAGAGGTGGGGCCCAAACAGACAGTAGTAGTCTCACTGGTTGGTAGGGGTAGAGGTCAGAGTTTGCAGGTGCCAAGGCAGCTAAAATTGTGTACCAGACAGGGCCCTGGTCAAGAACAAGCTGTGCACAGAGTTTCCTTGAATGGTTGACCTGAATGCTTAAGGCAAGAAACACAAGGTTTGTGAACTGTGAACTGATTTTACACACACAGTAACAAAGCCGTTCTCAATAACTGGTAGAATAAATAAAAAGAAAAGCAGTAAGTATACAGAAAATTTGAACAATACTATCAACTAATTTGACCTAATGATAAGAAAAGAACACTGCACCCAACAACAGGTGAATATTCGTTCTTTTTGATGGCAGATAAAACATTTACCAAGACAGAGCATTACCAAGACTGTAGGCCATCAAACAAATATCAACAAATTTAAAGAAATTCAAACCATTCAGAGTATATTCTCTGAACACAGATTAAGTTAGAAATGAACACAGAAAGATATCTAAGTCTCCAAATAAAGGGAAACTAAACAACACACTTTCGATTGCCTGTGAGTCAAAGAAAAATATCACAAGACAAATTAGAAAATATTTTAAACTTTATGAAAATGAAAACATAATGTAACAGAATTTGTTGGATATAGCTAAAGCAATGCTTAGAGGGAAATTTATAACATTAAGTACTTTTATTAGAAAAGAAAAAAGCTCTGAAATCAATGGCTTAAACTTTGACCTTAAGAAACTAGAAAAAGAACAGTAATTAAAGTGCAAAAACAAACAAAAAAAAAAAAAAAAAAACCAAAAAAACAGGAAAAGAGGTGGTAAAGATAAAAAAATAAGAGAAAAATTACAGAGAAAAATTTTTAAAAGCCTGGTTCTTTGAGAAGATCAATAAATGGATAAGCCTCTAACCATACTAATCAGAAATAAGACAGAGAAGACACAAATTACCATTATCAATAACAATAGTGGGGCCGTCACTACAGATCCTAAAAACAATACAATAATAATAAGGGCATATTATGAACAATTTTAAGCCAATTTAAGCCAATAAAGTCAAAACTCTTAAGAAACACCAACTACCAGAATTAACTCAAGGAAAAATCAATAATAATAACTGTATTACTAATAAATAAATAAAATTTTGGTTAAAAAAACTTCCCACAAAGAAAACTCCAGAGTCAGCTGGGCTCACTGATGAATTCTGCCAAACATTTGAAGAAAAAAGAACAGAAATTCTACACAAGGTCTTTCAGCAAATAGAAGAGGAGAGAACACCTGCTAACTGATTCTGTGAATCTGGCATTTTCTTGATAACAAAACAGAATACAAATTACAGGAAGAGAAGATTATTATAAGAAAAGAAAACTATAGATCAATTTCCTGAGTATATAGGAGCAAAATTTCTTTAAAAAATGTTTTTTTTTTTTAATTTTAGAGAGAGAGAGCACAAGCAGGGGAGAAGGGCTGAGGAAGAGAGAGAGAATTTTTTTTTTTTTGAAAGAAAGAATCTTAAGCAGGCTCCCATGCTTAGCACAGAGCCCAAAGGGGGGCTCAATCCCATGACCCTGGGATCATGACCTGAGCTGAAATCAAGAGTCAGAGGCTCAACTGATTGAGCGACCTAGGCACCCCTTGAAGCAAAATTTCTTAAAAAAATTTTAACAAACTGAATCCAACAATATATAAGGATAATATATCATCAATGAGTTTTATTTCAGAATACAAAGTTGTTTTAGCACTCAAAATCAAGATAATTCACATTAATAGAAAATAAGACAATATGATTATCTCTATAGATGCAGGAAAACATTTGAAAAAATCCAAAATTTGCTTATTAGAAGAACCTCACAACACATTCTCAACAGATTGAGAATGGGCCTTTCTCAATCTGTTATAAAACATCCTAAAACAACCAAGTAACCTAGAGTTAACATCATACTTAATGATAAAAGGCTTAATGCTTTCCCCTAAGAACAGAAAAGAGTCAAGAATGTATGCTTTCACCACTTGGAGTTAACCATGTATTGGTGATCCTATCCAATGCAATAAAGGAAGTAAAAGATAAAAGAAGATATCCAGATTGAAAAAGAAGAAGTAAAACTGTCTTTGAGGACAGTTTGATTGTCTATGTAAAGAATACTAAGGATTTAAAAAAAAAAAAGGTGACTCAGCAATGATGAGTAAACAAAATTAAGAACACAAGTCAATAAACAAATATCAATTGTATTTCCATATACTAGCAAAGCAAAATTAGAAGTTGAAATAAAAAACAATAATACAATATGAAATATGAAATACTTAGTAATAAATTTGGCAAAATACATGTAAGACCTAAAATTTAGAAAATGGAAAATCACATTGCTGTGAGAACTTAAGGAAGACCTAAATAAATGTAGATAAATACAAAGACCATGGATCAGAAGACTCAATATTGTTACAATATGAATTCATTCCATATTGATATATAGACTCAATATAATCCTAATAAAAAATCCCATCAGGGATTTTTAAAGAAATAGATAAACTTATTAAAAAATTTGTTTGGAATTGCAAGAAACCCAGAAGAGCCCAAACTTTTTTAAAAATATTTTTTCACATTTATTTGTTTATTTTGAGAGAGAGAGACAGAGCATGAGCAGGGGAAGGACAGACAGAGAAGAGGAGAAAGAATCCCAAGCAGGCTCTGCACTGTCAGCACAGAGCCCAACGTGGGGCTCAAACCTACAAACTGTGAGACCATGACCTGAGCTGAAACCAAGAGTCAGATAGAAGTTCAACTGACTGAGCCACGCTGGCACCCCAAAACCAAAACTATTTTTACAAAAAGAAAGAAAGAAAGTAGGGGCACCTGGGTAGCTCAGTCAGTTGAGTGTCTGACTTTGGCTCAGGTCATGATGTCACAGTTTGTGGGTTCAAGCCCCGTGTCAGGCTCTGTACTGACAGCTCGGAGCCTGGGGCCTGCTTCGGATTCTGTGTCTCCCTCTCTCTCTGTCCTTCTCCTGTTCACTTACACACACTTTCTCTCTATCAAAAATGACTATAAACATTAAAATTTTTAATTTAAAAATTAAAAAAAGAAGAAAGTAGAAAGACACACTACCTGATTTCAAGACTTATAAAGCTATAGTAATCAAGATAATGCGATATTTGTATAGAGACACACTCATAGATAAATGGGACAGAAGAGAGAGTTCAGATATAGATCCACTTATATATTGTCTATTGGTTTTCAAAAGAGTCCCAAAACAATTCAATGAAGAAAGTATAATCTTTATAAAAAACAGTACTGTAACAATAGTGTAGTGATATACAAAATATGAATCTTGACTCTTATCTCTTACCATACAGAAAAATTAACTCGAAATGGATTATGTACCTAATTGTAAAAGCTAAAAATATAAAACATCAAAAAACAACATATAAAAATCTTAGAATTAGGCAACAATTTCTTAAATATGATATTAGAAGTATGTCTAATGTAAAAGCTTACAAACATGGGCTGTAAAAGAGATTTTCATATAACCAATCTGAGCAAGTTTATAACCAATAGACCTGCACAAAAAAGAAATATTAAGGGAAAATATTTAGGCTGAAAGGAGATTATACCAGTTACAAACTTAAGTTTCACATACAACATTCTTTTACCCAATGAAAGATACCATAAGTGTTAAGTTTATGGATATGAAATACTTTTTCTTTTTATTTCTTGATTTCTTAAAAGAAAATTTATGGTTAAATGGGTAATCATCACAATGCATTGTGAAGTTATTACATACAGAAAAGGAAATGAGTGATAATAGTGGCACAATGAAAGGGAGGTAGAGAAATGGAAAGTTCTTACATCATATGCAAACAAAAATAACATTAATTCAAGGTAGGATAAGCAAGGATGTATACTGTAATTCTTATAAGCAACCATTAAAAACTAAAGCCAAGAGGTAGAGCAGAAAAGCAAATAGAAGAGGTAAAATGAAATATTAAAATTACATAATTGAGTTAAAAATAGATGGAAAAGAGGAATAAATGAACAAAAACAGGACAAAAAAAAAACAAAAGGGAAGATATGGGCTTAAACAAATTATATAATACTTATGTTAGATGTAAGTGAACTAAATACTCAAAAGTCAAAGAATATCAGACTAGATTTTTTAAAAAATGTAAGACCTAATGATATGCTGTTTGAAAGGGATGCTTCTAATGCCACACTTTTTCTTTCTTTCTTTTTTCAATATGGAACACTTCACAAATTTGCATCTCATCCTTGCACAGGGGCCGTGCCAATCTTCTCTGTATTGTTCCAATTTTAGTATATGTGCTGCTGAAGCGAACACTCTAATGCCACACTTCTAATTAACAATAGGTCAGAGAAAAAAATCACAAAGAAAATTAGAAAATATTTTAAATAGATATTGTAAATACATCATACCAAAATTTGTCAGATGCAGATAAAGTAGTGTTTAGGAAAAAGAAATAGAGCTTTACGTGACTATGTCAGTGGGGCACCTGGGTGGCTCATTCAGTTGAGTGTCTGACTTTGGCTGAGGCCACCATCTTACAGGTTCATGAGTTTGAGCCCTGCGTCAGGCTCTCTGCAGTCAATGCAGAGCCTGCTTCAGATCCTCTGTCAGCCTCTCTCTCATGCTCTCGTGCTCTCTCTCAAAAATAAATAAACATTTAAATGACTATATAAAAAAAGAAAAGCAATTTTTAAATCATTGACTTAGTTTCTACCTTGAGAACTAGAAAAAGAAACAAATGTTAACACAGAATAAGATAAAAAAAGAAAACTGAAAAAGCCAAAATCAGACAAAAAATAAGGAAAATTAGCATGACCAAAAGTTAGTTCTTTGAAAATATGAATAAAACTGATATACTCTTAACTAAATTGATCAAGAAAAACAAAGAAAGAACAATATCAGGAATGAAAGAGGGGTATCACTATGAATCCTACAAACAGTAAAGGATAATAAAGTAATATTATGAACAAGGTTATGCTACCAATTTCAACAGTCTAGGTGAAATGAAAAAATTTCTTGAAAGACAAAAATTACAGAAACTAATAAAAAATAATTGAAAAATCTCCACAGCCTTATATGCATTTAAAAATGGAATTCAGAATTAGAAACTTTTTCCTAAGAAAACTTATTTTAAACATTAAAAAAATAAATACCAGTCTTACACAAACTCTTTCAAGAGATAAGGAAGGAACCAGTAAAGTGGAAGAAAATGAAATCATAGACCGATAATTTTCATGAATATAAAAGCAAAAATTCTTAACAAATTGGATTAGGGTACTAGCAAATCAAATCTAGCCATAGATAAAAAAGATAATTCATCATGACTAAGCAGGTTTTATCACAGTAATGCTAGGTAGTTTAATACTTTGAAGATCAATTGATATAATTCATCATATATACAGAAGAATAAAGGAGAAAAATCATTTGATCATCTCAACAGGTGCAAAAAAATGTTAAAATTCAACGTTTTCTAATTAAATGTCTCAGTAGACTAGAAATTAAAAAATCCTTCAAATTTTGATAAAGCTGTCTTATGAAAATCTTTCAGTTAACATCATATTTAAATACCAAATGCTTTGTCTCTAAAATCAAGCACAAGGCAAAAGTATGGACATACCACTTTCATTCAACATCGTCCTGAAGATCTTAGCCAGTGAAATAAGGCAAGGAAAGAAAATATAAAGAATGTAAAAGAAGTAAAATTGTTTCTATCTATAAACAAAATAATTGTATATGTAGACATTCTTAAGGAATCTATTAAAAAGAAAACCTTACTTTCTACCAACAAACAACTTAATCAAGGTCAAAAACAACTTAATCAAGGTCAAAGGATACAAGAGCAGTATATAAAAATCAGTCATTTCTCTATATACTAGCTACAAATGAGTTGAAAAAGGAAATTTAAAAAATATCACAAAAGCATGAAAGACCATAAAATAATTGGGAATAACTTTAACAAAATTTGTATGAAATCTCTACATATAAAATGATAAAATGTTGCTGAGAGAAATTTTAAAAGACCAGAATAAATGGAGAGATGTACACATTCACACACTGGAAGACTTAGTACTGGACATTCTCTCCAAGTGATCTATAGTCAATGCAATCCCAGAGTTCCTGCACTCTTTTTGTAGAAATTGAGAGGTGGATGCTAAAATGTATATGGCAATATAAATGACATGGAATAGCAAAAAAGAAAACTTCTTGAAAAAAAAAAAGAACCAGTTTGGAAGATTTGCATAGCCTGATTTCAGTGATTACTATGAAGATTTAGTATTCAAGATAGTATGGTACTGGCACAAAGATGAAGAGACAAAAGCAATAGAAGAGAGTCAGAAATGAGCTCAACATTAAATAGCCAACTGATGTTTTTGTTTTGTTTTGTTTTGTTTGTTCAAATGAATTCAATGAAAAAAAGAAAGATTCTTCAAAAATGGACAATTGGAAATCATAAGGAGAAAAATATATCTTGACTTCTAGATATGTAGCTTAACTTCTTTATATGTAGCTCATACTACACATAAAAATTAGTTCTAGATAGATGAAGGCCTAAATGCAAATGTTAAAATTATAGCACTTCTAGGGGCTCCTGGGAGGTTCAGTGGGTTCAGTGTTCGACTCTTGATCTCAGCTCAGATCTTGATCTCAGGGTCGTGAGTTCAAGCTCTGTTAGGGCTCTGTACTGGGCATGAAGACTTATTTTAAAAAAAAAATTACAGCGTTCTAGAATAAAACACAGAAAAAATACCTTTATTATCTTTGGGTGGCAATAATGTCTCAGCTGAAACAAGAAAAACATTAACCATAACAGAAAAAAATTGATAAATTTCATAAATTAAAAGCTGCACATCAAGAGATTCAGTTACACACTGGGAGAAAATATTCATGAACAATTTATAAATAGAATAAATATCTCTTGCAACTCAGTAATAAAGAAGACCATTAACCCAAAAAAAGGATGAAATGTTTGAACAGACTTCACAAATGACATTTATTTGTGCACAAGAAGATGGTCAACATCATTAGTGATCAGGGAAATAGAAATCAAAACCATCAGTTTGCTAGTTTCTTAAAATGTTAGACAGACATTTATCATATGGTTCAGCCATTCCACTCCTAGGAATTTATCCCAAAGAAATAAAAACATATATCAAAAAATGCATTTAAGGGCACCTGGGTGGCTTAGTCGGTTAAGCGTCCGACTTTCGCTTAGGTCATGATCTCGCGGTTCGTGGGTTCGAGCCCCACGTCGGGCTCTATGCTGACTGCCAGCTCAGAGCCTGGAGCCTGTTTCAGTCTGTGACTCCCTCTCTCTCTGACCCTCCCCTGTTCACGCTGTCTCTCTCTCTCTCCTAGAAATAAATAAAACATTTAAAAAATGCATTTATTCAGAATAGGCAAAAAGTAAAAACAACCCAAATGTCCACCATCAGGAGAATGTATAAAATCCATACAATGGAATGCCCCTCAGTAAGAAAAAGGGAAATGTTAATGTTGGACACAAAAATATGAATGAATCTTAAATGTTGAGAGGCGCCTGGGAGACTCAGACGGTTAAGCATCCAACTTTGACTCAGGTCATGATCTCTGATTCATGGTTTTGAGCCCCACATCAGGCTCTGTGCTGACAGCTCAAAGCCAGGAGCCTGCTTCAGATTCTGTCTCCCTCTCTGTCTATCCCTCCCCTGTTCACACTCTGTCTCTCTCTGTCTCTCAAAAAGGAATAAAGAAAACATTTTTTAATAAAAAAAATTATGCTAAGTGAAAGAAGCTACCCAAAAAAAGAGTACATAGTGTATGATTCCACTTATATGAAATTCTAGAATAGACAAACAAATAAAAAAATGATACAAATAAGATTAGTGGTTACTGGGGCAGAAGTGGGTAGTTATTAATCAGAAAGTGACATGAGAGGTTTCTGAGGTGATGGAATTGTTCTGTATCATTATGGGATGGTGTTTACACAGGTGTGTACCTTTGTCAAACTCAAGAAATTATACACTTAAAATGTGTGCATTTTATTGCACGTAAATTACATTTCAATAAAGTTGATTTTAATTTTTTAACATTTATTTATTTTTGAGAGAGAGAGAGAGAGGGAGGCAGAAAGAGGGAGACAGAGTATCCAAAGCAGGCTCTGTGCTGTGAGTACACAGCCCAATGTGGGGCTGGAACCCATAATCGTGAGATCATGACCTGAGCTCAAATCGAGAGTCAGCCACTTAAACTGAGCCACTCAGGCACCCCAAAATTGGTAAAAAAAAAAAACAAAAAAAAAAAACAAAAAAACCCACAACAACTAGGATACCATATTTTACTCACTAGAATACTTAAAATAGAAAAGATTTAACTATCCAGCTATAGTGAAAATGTTCCTGTTGGGAATGTATGGTAGGAACTCTTTTGAAAACTAGTTTGGCAATTTCTTATAAAGGTAAACATGCACTTACCCTATGACTTAACACTTCACTCCCACTCCTAAGTATTTACCCAAGAGAAATAAAAACATAGTCCACAAAAAGACTTGTACAAAAACATTCACAGCAGCTTTCGTCATAATTGCCCCAAACTAGAAATTGGCCAAATATCCACCAACAGAGGAATGGATAAATTGTTACATTTTCATGCGATGGAATATGAACTACTCAAAAGAAGAAGCAGCAGAAGGGGAGGAGGATGAGGTTGAAGAGGAAGAAAGAAAGCAACAACCAAAATATATAAGCAACATTTTACAAAACCACTCAAAAATACTATATTAAAGAAAAACAACCCACAAAAGAACATATATAATAGTATGCTTCCATTTCTTTTAAATTTGGGGGGAGTCAAAGCTATTCTATGACACTAGAGATCAGAATGGTTGCTGCCTCGGGGTGTGCAAGGGAAGAGCAGGAATCGACATAAGAGACCATAAGACAAGGTTCTGCTCTCATGGAAATGGTCTGTGTCCTGGCAGGTGTGTGACTTACACAGAGGTATGCATTTGGGGAAACTCATCGAATGATATACATAATCTGTGCGTTTCACTGAAGGAATGTAAAGTAACACTCAGTTTTTAAAAATTAAAAATGTAGATTCACTTCCAAAAGCACATGAGTCAAAAAAGAAATTATAATAAAAATTATATTGAAATAGACACAGAAAATATTATTAAGCTGCTTTATAATTATATGAAATGCCTAAATCTCAGAAGTTGAGGAGTGTAGTTAGGTAATACTTGAAGAGAAAATTAATGACCTTAAATACTTACATGAGAAGAAGAAGAAGAAAGGCTAAAATCAATGAGCTATGTGTCCAACTTAAAAAGTCTGAAG